GTGATTAAATTATATTGTTTCAATTGTATCGAATTTAGCGTGTTCGTGATTTTATTCTTTTCACGAATATTCACTCATTAAGTTCTTCTCTAATCATTATCTGTCTTAACCTGACCTCACCTGAAAGTCATTAGTCAGAGCCCACATTAGTCAGGGCAGCTGTCGTGACCTGACCCCACCTGATGGTCATTAAGTCAAACCCTGCTTCGAACAGCTGGGGCGGTCTGACCTGACTTTCACTACGAGTGGTTATCAGAAAAAACAGCTTGCAAATTCTCTTTAATTGTTTGAACTAGTTATCACAATATAGGGTTAATGCATAGCAACCGTTACATGTTCATTGGTGACATGTTCTATTGGCGCTAGAATGGAACTTGTAACGCGACTCGTATAACGCCAAGAGGTATCCTCATAGTAAGGTTGCATTTATGCGTAATGACTCATGTATGAGAGTAGGTTAAGGTAACTGAAGTAAATCATACGTTCAGCAAACTTTGAGCCAGGGTGACCGCAATTATGTCCATTAATTTAGGACTAGAATTTAAGTCTGATTTAGGATCCACTTAATTAATCACAACCCGCTCACACTTTTACATGTCGCCGTCATGTTGGGTAGATCCCATCGGTTTGTGATCATGATAAATTCCCGTAGGGCATTTCATGAGCACACATCATAGATCCGCAGATAGAGTGGGTAATTTAAAGATTTTCCCAGCTTGTTTAAGCTTCATAAAATACACCATTTTTGGGTTGCGTTCCCCCCGTCAAATGAAGTCTGCAATCCCCGAGATTTGTTTGCGAAGAGGCTTGCGAATAATTTTCATGTCACCATTCATTAAAGCGTCATTCTGTTGCATATCATTAAATGTTAAATTCAATGTGGTACTTGAAATAATTTTGAATTACGTCTATAAATAATTAGTCACATTATTGTTAAAATGAACTTTATTCAGCGTGTTGGCAACACTACTGCTATAGGAGGTCACTCTTACTTCATTGACACCTGTCAATCACTATACTTTTCTTTCGGGTTCGACAAATGGTTCAAGTAATTCCTTGCGGAATGCCAATTGTCGTTTCCTTTACTTTTTCACGAGACGATTGGTAGCTCAAGCTAGGTCCTTGCGGATCGCTACCAACGTCTCCCTCTTCTATTTTCCTCTTTTCACTTTGTGAACATAAAACAATAAATTGAAAAAAAAGACAAAAATAACGAAAATTCAACTTTAAAAACTGCAAATTATGAAACAAAAAAAATCGGCTTGTAGCATTTAACACCTTCTCTTCTCTGTCGTTTTTCTTTCTCTCACTATCTGGCCCATTATGTGTTATTCTGGTTCCCAATATCTGAAACGGCACCGAAGGAGGCCCTGCTGCAGAAACGGTCACCTTCGGAAGCCATTGGAAAATGTCATTGGAGGATCGTCGCCTGCCATAATGCCCCGAGATCCAGCGAAAACAGGAGCTCGCCAGTATGGGTTCACCGTCCTATGATGCTGTGGACTGGCGCCGCCTGCCTGGACGCCGTAGATCCAGTCAAACTCCAGGAGCTCATTAGTGCAGGTATCAGCCGCCCTACGATGTCGAAGAGGACGCTTCTTGCCGGACGCCCGTAGATCCTGACGAAGATTATGAGGACGTCTGTATGAGCGCGCAGCCGAGAAGGACCTGGATGGAGATCTGCGAGACGAGCATTGGGCAAATAGGCCGCCGAGTTTGACCTGTACGCGGACTACAAGGATGTCTGGGCGAGGACCTGCGCGAGACCAGTCGATGACGTGAGGATGTCGAGGACGGACGGATTACCAGGGACCAAAACGAGGATAACGACACAGAACGAGCAGCCACGGAGATGCACCAAGGATACTGCACCCGAGATTGAGGACGAGCAACCAGCCAGGTTGGGTCACCCTTGAGGAAAGTCTAGATCGCCTCGAGGACAAGCCGTGAGTAGGTGGCCGAGCAATATACTGTTTATTATATCGGTATTATATGCCTGCGTAGCGACCACATGGATGCTTGCACCAGCCGTGTATCGTGCCGCGTTCGAGGTCACAACTGCCCGCTAGGCCGGGCTTGCCCGGGACCAGCCATTAACCCAAGACTTGTCTCATTGTGTATATCCACCCGTGTGCTGAACCCTTAACAATAAAGAGATTAAGCCACTCAAGCTTTTACTATCCTGTCACCAATGTTTAGAGGCTCAATCAATCTTATACCTCTTACACACACACACACACACACACACACACATATATATATATATATATATATATATATATATATATATATATATGCATATATAGGTATATGTATATGTATATATAGATATATCTGTATGTATGTGTATATATATATATATATATATATATATATATATATATATATATATAAAGCCATTTACACATCCCTTCTTCAATAAAAGCTACTTACTCAGGTTGTGATGTCCCGTCAACGGCGTCCTTACTCAGAGTACCCAAGTTCATTGAGAAGAGGAATTCTGTAAGATAAAAAAAAAAAAAACATTTTGAAATTAAATATATACGTGTACATATATATACATGTATATACATTTTTTTTTTGTATATATATATATATATATATATATATATATATATATATATATATATATATAATGTACAGAGCGCATGCGCTCACACACTTTCATACATACTCACATACACACATACATACATACATACATAAAAGCACACACACGCACATATATATATATGTCTATATGTATGTATCTACATATATAGGTATATGTGTGTGTGCGTGTGTGTGTGTGTTTATATGTATACGCGTGTGTGTGTGTGTAATGTATATGTTATATATATATATTAATATATATATATGTGTGTGTGTGTGTGTGTGTGTAAGCTGAGGAACTCGTCTTCATGCAACATTGCAGCACGTAAGACGAAACGATATGCATACCCAATAGTCGGCCGCCATAATGAGCTTGCTTACTTGTCTACCTGGCCTGGGCTGTTTCTCCCAATACATAAATAACTAAATAATGTCTGTGGGGTAGCTTTCGCAGCCCAATTTTTTTCTTTTATCATACTTAGTGTCTTTTACTTGCTGTTAAGTATACGAACCAGGTATGTTACTTGTATTACCACATGAAACAAGTGGCCGCACTGATATGCGTTTCGCGAAACAATCGCGACAGCATTTTCGTACCTGCTGTGTGTACAAAGCAAGGTATATAGATCAGTCTGATCCGAGACACAGACACCGACATGTTTCTTTCTCCTCCCAAGGAATTTAGTGACATACCACAATCGTCACAGTTTTTCATACTAAAAAGATAAGTAGTTAGCTGCACATTCTTATTCATATATCTATTTTATGCTGTATGCCCGTTCTTTAAACGCTTCACGAACCAAATGCATATTTTGCAAGTGTCTCCGTCAATAATTTGTTGTCCACACAAACAGTTTTAGCCGGCCAACATAGTGTTTTAATTAGCGTTCTTAGTCATTTCGTTTACTTTTATTTCTTCGGTGATATTTCACATGATTTTACTTACGTGTTTTTCTGCTTTGGATTTGTTTTTATTTCCATTTTACCTTCAATTTATGGCCAGGATTTTATCTCATCTTCAACTTAATCAATACTGTGGACTACGGGTTTTATGACGTTCCCGTATTACTCAGGGGAACTCAGAATCTGCCAGTTCTGCAACGCATGATCACGAAGCTCATTCTATATCAAAACCTTTCACGGGGCCATGCTACTTAATTTATATGTTGCACTATTGTAATCTAAAAGTATTAAACATTGGAATAAATACTGCAAGAATCGCATAAGAGAGGCGGTATACCTTTCTCTCCCTCTCACACACACACACACACACATATGTATATATATATACAAACGTACGTACATATATGTGCATGTATACAATAATTTATGCGTCCGCGCGCACACAAACACACGTGTGTGTGGAATACAGGATTTCCAAACAGTTGTGGGTTTTTCTAATATATGAATGAATGAATAAATGAATGGATGAATAAATAAATAAATAAGTAAATAAACAAATATATGTATGTATGTGTTTGTGTGTGTGTGAGCATATTTATGTATATACATATATATATATATATATATATATATATATATATATATATATATATATATATTTATATGTATACATATATACATGTATGAGTATAAATTTAAAAGGATTAAAAAAACTACCGACCTATAAGCCTCCTTTCAGTTATTTACAAACTGTTCACAAAAGTCATCACAGCTCGCATCTCCGACACTATGGATCCTAAGCAGCATTGAGAACAGGCAGGCTTCCGCAGTAGATTCTCAGCAACAGACTACATCTACACACTAACCCAAATAAGAAAAAATAAACGAATATAGGAAACCCCTGTGTATGGCATCCATCGATTACGAGAAGGCATTTGACTGTATAATTACTCGCAGTATTAGAAGCTATCCGAAGACAAGGAGCAGAGGAAGTATATTGTAAAATACTGGAAAAGATATACGAAGATGGGACATTAACCATCAAGCTCCAAATTAACTGCAGCTATCAATAAACGATCTGAACCAAAAAAATGTCTGAAAGTTGGGCCTAGGAAAAACAAGAAAAACACTAAGGTTTTGTTTAGTAGTAGAGTTCAATTCGAAAAGATAGCCTCCAGGCTAGTACAGTGGTAACGTGTCAGCCTTTCATCCGAGGGGTCGGCAGTTCGCGCCCCGCCCAGGCGCAAGTAGTTGCAATTGCCGCCTGGAGGTTACTGCTGTGGCTGTAACACCTGCTGACACACTCTTAGCGAGTCGACATTAGTTAACACAGGCCGGGCTCTCCTCATAGCTCGGGCGAGGCTCAGCTTCGCATATCGGACTTATCCTTATCTAACAGATACATGTACAGGGCGAAACGCTAGCGGTAGTGGACATATATACCCAGGACAACTCATACAGACAAATACATCTAGGAGCATCAAAAAGAAGAAATGGCAATGTGC